TAACACACTATCATTGACACATGATTCTCATGGCAACTCACACTTAAATGATCCTCCACGTCAGCGCCATGTACAGGACCGAAGTTGTTTGAATTTTTTTTTTTTTTCGGTTTGGATTTGGCGTATTTTCTTTTAAATTTTTTTTTTTTTATTTTGGGTTTGGATTTGGCGTATTTTGCTTAATTTTTTTATTTATTTTGGGTTTCGATTTCGCGTATTTTACTTAAATTTTTTATTTTTTTATTTTGGGTTTGGATTTGACATATTTTTTATCTTTTCTATTTTTATTGGTATACAATAACTTTTTTTTATTTTTCAAAAATGAGTTTTCATGTGTTTTATTTATTTTTAAATTACGTCGCGAATAGTAATTTATGTTTTATGTTTTTTTAAAATATTTTTTAATGAGGCGTATTTTTCTCGTTATTTTTTTTAATTTATGTTTTTGTCATTTTTTAATTCGTACACATTAATTTGTTTTTATATTTCAAAAATGGGTTTTCATGTGTTTTATTTATTTGTAAATTACATGGCAAATGGTAATTTCTGTTTTTTTTTTTATCTTTCTGGATGAGGCGTATTTTTGTCGTTCTTTTTTTTTGAATTTATGTTTTTTTAAATTTTTAAATATTTTAAAATATTTTTGAATGAGGCGTATTTTTTTTAAATAATTTATGTATTTTAATTTTATTTTTTTTTGCAAATGGTTTTTTCATGTGTTTTTTATTTTTATTTTTATTTTTTTTCTTTTTCTGTGAAATGATAAAAAGTGAGTTTTATTTTATTGTCCTGTGTATTTTAAATAATTTAATTTTTATTTTTATTTTATTTTAATTTTTATTTTAATTTTTATTTTATTTTAAATATTTAAATAATCTAAATAATCTAAATAATTTAATAAGCAAAAATTTAAAATAAATATTCCAAAAATTTAAATCGTAAAAATTTAAATAATTTAAAATGTTAATATTTTAAATTTAAAAACAACTCTACACTCAAATCGTAACCAAACACATAAAATAAAACTCAATTAATAAATTATTTTTAAAACTCATAACCAAACACGTAACTCGAAACTCCATACTACTTTCACAACTCTACACTCAAATCATAATCAAATACATAACAAAAAAATTAAAATATTTTAAAAATATTTTTATAAAATAGAGTTTGAATTTATTTTTATAAAATATTTTAACAAAAAACAAAAAAAAATGTTTTTAATTTTTTTTTTCAACTTTCTTTCTTTTTTCTGAGAAAAGATGTTTTTTGGAAAAAGTTTTTTTTTTTTACTTTGAATATTTCTGACGCTGAGGCTAAATTAGCCCCTCTTTCATGTGGGGGTAGTTTCGTAAATTTACTTGTGAAATGATTGTTGCGAAGCTCCTGCCATGCTTTTGTCTCCATGTGGCTGAATTAGCCACTTTTGTCTGTACGTGGCTAATTTAGCCACAAACTGCCTTCCCAAACACAAGTTTAGTGATATAATTTTAAATTTTATCTTTATAGTTTTGATCTACTTACCTGTAAACTCGGTTTTACCCTTTTCATACTTTTCCAAACCTTTTCTTTTAATGGTTGAGTTTCTTTCATATTCACATATCAATGTAAGAGAATTTGAAAGGCCTATGAGTCTTGTTTAATTATTCAAACTTTTTATTTTGTAAGACATTCAATGTATATTACTTATGAAAAAAATTATTCTATCTAAAAATTGTAATATTTTCATTTTATTATATCTGTCTGTGAAAAAATAAATGACAAATATATTTTTAAAAAAAGATCATTATTTTTTTTAAAGGCAAACACAATAAAATAAAAATATTGTGATTATTGAATCAAATTATTTTTTTTATAAATGATATACATTAGGACCTTATAACATTAGTGATTTAAATTATCACAATGAGATTATTGTGAACCCTGTGATCTCTTAACTTGTCGAGCAATGGTAGAGGGCCCAAATTCTGTGGCTCAAATGTGGCTTAAATGACCAAAACGACGTCGTTTTGAGTACAAAACAACATCAAAATGGCCAAAACGACGTCGTTTTGACCATTTGAGCCACATTTGAGCCACAGAATTAGGACCCCCAAACATTTTTCTAACTTGTCCCATATGAGATATAAACACGAAAGAAATTCCTTTAAATCCGATTGGAACAATTACGATCAAATTAGGTAATTTTATCATTCCTACTGGAGTATTTCTTTTCTTTTTCAGGACCCACAACTTAGCTGTCAGCATTAAATATTGACACGTTGTGGGGCCATGTTGATGGACGCCTTAACCAAAAAACAAAAAAAAAAAACAAAATTAAAAATTGTATCAAATGTTTCACATGTTATTATAATAGAGCGCATATAAGACGTGTTTATATATTTGTATAGGGTTCAACCTCTTTCAAATTTAAATATGAAAACCCTCATGTTCAGGTATTTAAGGTTTATTATAGGTCTTATTTTAATAATTTAAATTTTTTTTTGTAAGATTTTTTGTATATACTATCATTTATGAAAAAAATTAAGTTAATTTAATAATTATTTATTTATTTTTATTTTATTATATTTGTCTCAAAAAAATAGACAACTAGTGTGTTTTCAAAAATAAATTATTTATTTTTTTAAAAGACAAACGCCATAATTTAAAAATATTATAATTATCAAATCGATTTAATTTTTTTTATAGCTCATATAGACAAATAACGCTACAAAATAAACGAATTAAATCATCGAAATTTATAGTGGACTTCAAAGGTCTAAATATGACGGAGAAATTAAAATCTATATATGAAGAAATTATTTAATAGATCAGGTACATCACATGACCGTGCTTATGTGATATGTCCAACTAATGGCCAAGTTTTAAACAATATGATAATTAACAAATTGACAAAGTTTATAAAATCACTTCATATATTGTGATTTTTTTACTTTATGTATTATTCCTATTGGTCAAGCGTCGACAAGACATGCAATTTCAAACTCATGAAATAACTTCAATTTTATATGAGAGAGAGAGAGAGCGAGAGAGAGAGAGGGGGGGGGTTATGAAACACATGTTTGGCATTGGAGAACATTCAAAATTAGTTGAGATATTAATTGTAGACTCAACAAACCCTCACCAAGACTATTATTTTATAAGAGTAATGTTAGGGATCATGAAAAATATATCAAGAAATACATTATGAAAATTTTTCATTCATTGATTAATTTTGATTAGTGTGTGGTGTTTTATTGTATGAGTAATCCAAAGGTTGAGAATCTTTCATGATAATATTCATGATATATTTTTCATGATTCCTAACATTACTGATTTTATAAAAGGGTTCTCATTAATGTACACGGGGGACTGGGGTGCTACAACTTATAAGCATACCACGAGGTGTGGGGTGCTACAGATTATAAGCATACCACCTTATAAGTTATGACACAACCGACCATTTCGGAGCCCATTAATGTCTCCAAGACAATGATTTTTGCATTCTCTCTTGATTCTACTCCATCCTTTTCTACTTTTATTTTTTTTTTTTTTTTTTTGCAGTCTCCAAGTTTTGAATTCGATTGATTTGTTTACCGAGTTTGAAATTCTAACTTGAGCTTAGCTTGTTAATATTAATCAATTATAATTTTTTTGCTATTATTTAATACATAAATAATATATTTAATCTATTATATTCATCCAAAAAAATATTTAATCTATTATTTAAATGGAGATTAACAAGTCAAGTTTATTCGAATTCAAGTTTTGTTTATTTATTAAACAAGCCTAAAAATTTAGTGGATGTTTGGCATCTCCTAAAAAAATTAAAAAATTAAAAAGTCACTTAAAAAGTAAAAAAGTTAACACTATTTACAGGTTTGGACGGGAACAAAATACTTAATAGACAGAGGACAAAATTACGAATTTGTCCTTTTGAATTCAACACTTTTGAGTGTATGTCAGTGCTGATAAATGTACTTATCTTTACAAATTTTACCAAAGGCACTGACGTGGCTAATTGTAAGCCACGAATTCCCAAAGTCAACAAAATTTTGACATGCACTGATGTACCTATCAGTATGTGTCTAGAAGGGTACAAGTCAAAATTTTAATATTTGATATAATATTTTATTACACATTTTTTCGTAAAAAATCAAAAAATTATCTTAAATATATATTTCTCTACTTTTTTAGTTAAAATGTCAAAAAATACATTTATATAGATCATTTCAAACCATCCCTTAGTTTAAACTCATTTATTAACTTAACCAGCTGGATTTGAGAACAAATTAATTCTTGTCTGCTGCCCTAACCTCAGTGCCTTAACTCTTGCCCTTACTGAAAACCTAAAAAATAATAAGAATTATGCTGGAGACTCTAAATAAATTATCAAATAAATTACCAAACCTCTCACATAGGCGTGTGTAAGTCTCACACAAATCACATGTTTGTAAGTCTCACACCCATGTGAGAGGTTTGATAATTTATTTAGTAATTTACTTGGGATTGGTAGCATTTTTCAAATAATAATAATACAAATCTGGCTTTTTTAACTTTACAATCTACCACCCTCTCGAAAACATGTGGACCACCTCATGTTAGAGGGCAATAAATTTTTCTGTAGAAGAATCAAGAGGTTGAAACCTACCACATTTTTTTTTTCAGTTTTTTTTTTTTTTTTTTTTCAAAAATTCATTGTGAATTTGTGACAATTATTAGTTCTACAAATGAGTTGATCCAAGCAAAATCTTGTTTTCTTCAAACTTGGATTTAAAAATGATGAGCTAGTTTGAAAATGTGTTCTAATTTAAGTCTGCTTATCTTTTAAGTCAATTTTGAACAAATAATTAATCAAATCACAAGTTCTAAATAACAAGTCAATCTCAATCGTCATTTTGGGAAGCCAAACAAAAATTAACCTTGAATAAAACTCAACTTGTCTAGTCCTTTTAGTCAAAACAGGATGCCATAGATTTAACAATACTAAAGAAGAAAAAAGGAAGAAAGAAGCAGACAAGAAAGTAAAAGAGTAGCGAAGGAATAAATCATTTACCCTAGTTCTTGTTTTGCAACATCATTTCCCTTTTTTTTCAACTAGACTATTACGTCTACGTATCCAAAAAAATTACTTAACACCATAAATTGAAATATGCAGAGCAAATTTATTCTAAATGTGATCCCATAACAAAAAGTTCAAATCTACACTCTAAATTTCAAATTCTAGACACTTTCATAGGTACATAACATTTTTGTTTCTTTTCATTTTTTGGGAACCACCTTTCCGAAATTTGAGTACTTATATTTGTACGAGATAGTAAGCAAATAAGATCAACATCAATCCTTTCCTCTTCTTTCCCCCTCCTTTTCTAAGATCATCCAAACAAGACTCCAGTTGCATCCTGATTAAAGAAACAAATCTCAGTCAATTTGCACCTTAGCAATAGCACCTGTTATTTCCATTGATAATTGTAGAAGATGACTGCAGCTTCGGTCGACTTGTTTGAACAACCATTCCCTTCATGCCACTGGAACACCAGGTCACAGTGCCAATATCGATCTATTAACTGCTGGATTTGGACTATGAGACTGAAGTTTGGATTATAGGGCCTCGCTGATTTGATAAGGTCCAATGAACTTCTGCAAATCTGATTCCAAAACCACCTTCAGTAAACCAAGTTCCCAGGATAACAAACTCTTGTTTTGCCATTCTTTGGAGGTTGCCACTTGATCAATGACCTCTTGTTTTGTTTTCCAGAGTGGCGTGTTGGTTGTTACCACTGCCACTTCCATCACCCTTTCCAGAACCTCTTGGGAAGGGGGTGCAAAGTCAGGACAATAGATTTGTTCATTACACTAGTTCCCGCCACTTCCCATCTTTCCCGCTGCCATCTTTGGTGGAAGTAGGCGATGGAGTTGATAGCCCTTTCAGGGTCAATTCTTTGTGACAGCCCACCGTTTACAACATCCCTTGCTTCTCGTTGTGAATGGCTTTTTGGCCGTCTCCATACTCTACCCTTATGTAGAGGCATCTGTAGATCAGTACCAAATCAAAAGAGTCTTAATACAATAGGGTGGAGGATGTTTCCCCTGGAACTGAGGGAGCAACACCCAAGGCTGTGAGAAACCTAGTATTTCACCCTAGGAGTCTGGTAATAGATAGTTCCGATAGCACTAGGGCTTAAAAGTGCCTCCAATTTATTACTAACCTAATGTGGAATCTCAAGAACCACCCAATCTAACGAATACAATATTCGTTACGTACTGTTCCAATTGGTCTTCCATGTTCAATAGACAGATTTACCTCCGCACTGCTACACTAATTTCAACGGGTGAAGTTGCAGCACTCAAAACGTGGAATGCTTCCTCTCAGTGTTGAGAGGCCTGGGTAGAGGGGCAGTTTCCAGAGATGCTGGCAGGTCCCCATCCCTTTCAGTGGCACCAATTAATCCTTTCAGAATGTTAGATGTGTGACATCATAATCTGCAAGACAAACAAAATGAGTTAGATATTTGAAAATAGTGATATTCAAACCTAAATTGATCCACTTTGATTGGTAAAGTTCAATGTATTTACAACACACAACATTGTTTAACTTCCAGGATAAAAAATAATAAAAAAAACACCATATAGCCAATATTAAAAATGAATACTCTCGAAGTCCAAAATATATGTTCAGATTTTACGAAAATATGCAATAAAATCTATACAACTCATTGATACCACTATATCACTAATAACACGATACATTAAAATAAAATTACCCAGTTTTATTCTATATTCAAACCTAAATTGATCCACTTTGATTGGTAAAGTTCAATGTATTTACAACACACAACATTGTTTAACTTCCAGGATAAAAAATAATAAAAAAAACACCATATAGCCAATATTAAAAATGAATACTCTCGAAGTCCAAAATATATATTCAGATTTTATGAAAATATGCAATAAAATCTATACAACTCATTGATACCACTATATCACTAATAACACGATACATTAAAATAACATTACCCAGTTTTATTCTAATAGCATTACATGCACAAATTTAAATTTAGAACAAGATTATAACAAACCAAAAAAAAAAGATATGAATAATGATTTATTTAGGTGACATAAAGCAAGTTGGGAGAAACATCCCATGATACCATATTATCATTCATGCAACTTCAGATACATTAAAGGCTTGGAACGAGTGCTCTTGAATCCATTCATTACAGAAAACAAACTAGGATGAAGAATATATCACATTATGCATTTTCATATTGTGTGGTCATTTTATCTAAAGGATGTAAAGGAGTCTTCTAGTTATTCTAATAAGCAAGCTTGCAAAGAATATAAGACACCCATGTCAAAGTTCATCCTGGTAAATAATCAGATTCATCTCTTAAACATATGAACATACCATTTCCAAAAAATCAAAAGGATTTTCAGACAAACAACTCGTGGTAAATATTAGGAATCCATATCCATCTAAACTCTGTCTTAAACCTCGGATATTTTAATATTTATCCAGTTTTTTTCTGGCCATAACAACAGTAATGGAATGGCTTATGCACAAATTAATATGTTAAAAGAACAAAAATTTCCAATTAACAAACAGAAACTAGATAGTTAATACTGCAATTGCAAAGCAATGTGATCTATATATCCAACTACAAAACTACAAAACTATTTTCAAAATATACAACCAAACAAATTTTTAAATTTTGAAAACTCTTTTTAAAAACTTGTCTTTCAAAATTGATTTCAGAACCGAACCAAACGGGCCCTGAGATTTTTTTAGTGCAAAAAGACATCAATTTTAATGCTAAAGATATGCTGCAATAGACAATTTCACCAAATTAGTGATAAACTATGAGACTCACCGCCAAACAGCATCATGGAGATTTAGCCAGCCATGCGCTCAGCTCAAACAATGACCCAACTTATCACATATCATAGTCCGTCTTGTTTCATAGAAAAAGTTGCAACTATCTTCTCCTTCAAACTTGTTGTTCCATTTTCAAGGTACATTTCTCAAATTGAATGTCCTGATACAAAGACATTGATTGTTGTTCAAGTAAATTCCATTTCTCCCCAAGTCCCTCACCTCATGCACATCATCAACACCATCATCCACCCATCATTACCAGGCACCAGAACACTCTGGATTCACCACACCTTTCTTTAATTTCAAAATCTCAAGCAATTGTGTAACTGTGCTATCTTTTTTTCTTTTTCTTTTTATTAGAAAAAATACAGCAGAAATCCTGTTTTTTGTCCAAATGAGACATCTTCCAACTGAGAGATGTGCAACAATCCTAACTTGTGGTGTCTCTAAATATTCATACTAGAGGCATGAGATCGACTCCTACCTTCATCGGGATTAAAAACAGTAATGAGTAGGAAAGGGCCACTGTCGGACATAAAGCACATTGTCCCCCATTGCTAAAAAACATGAGCATCTTCCAGTTGAGCTTTTTCAGTCAAAATTTTCAATTCCTTCTCCTCTCAAGGTCATATTTTCAAACTGCTCTGTTGCTTCCAATGACTTTCATATTCCCAACCACATTCACATCCTAATTCCCATTTGCTCTTAGCAATCTGATTCTACTTCTTCTTCCCTGCTTTTATCATTGCCTTTCGTTTCTCCTCTTTCCTTGGCAATCAAACAATCTGCCTTCTACGGCCATCATTTCCGACGCGAATTGGTCTACTCCGTCTCACTGTCTTGTTCATGAGGTAAATATACCTATGCCGCATACCCATCAATGGATGCTTCTCAACCAAGAAGTCCTTCCTATAGGCCTCCCTAAGAACCACAGTCTGAGTCCTAATCTTATTGGATATGTAAAATATCCCGGGATGGTGCACCAAAGCTTTCTTAAACCTCCTCCCAAACCCCAAATAATCCCCCAACCGATACAAATTCTCCCTCTCCGTCTTCTTCGACACCATAAGATGAAGCAATTCATGAAGAACCGCCACCGTCCACTTCTCAGCCTGATCGCTATTTGGAGATAGATGAAATGCATCTTCATAGGGTGAAATGTAAGGCAAATTTTGCCAATCATCAACCCAATCTCTCACTTTCTTCTCTAAATCAAACCCTCTTGGCAATTCTAAGGGAAATGAAATTCTCATACCCCTCCTAAACCCATAATTCAAGTTCATTGCCCTAGTCTCCAATTTTGAAACTGCAAGATCATCTCTCCAAGAAATCAACTCTAACCCAAGAATTTCACTACCATTTGAGTCTTTACAATCCATACTACATACCTGAAAGTAATCAGGAAATTCAGGAAGAAGGGTGAGAATATAATTATGAGGCAAACCCAAATCAAATTTGAATCCATCAACGACATTCAACGGAAGCTTTCTCGCTCCGGCGATCATCAGCAGCTTAGCGAGTCGCTCCGCCGAGTCTTTCCGGTGAGTCACCGAGTTGAGAACTTGGGCCTCCTCGTTGTGAAGAATTAGGGCTTGTGAAGTGAGCTTGACGTGAGGGAGAGCTAGGTGTCTGTCGGGTCGGAATTGTTTGAAAACCGAGGGGTATTTTTGGATGAACTTTGCGGCAGCGGTGGGGAGTTTGAGGCGGTGCTTTTGGGCGGAGGCGGCGGAGATGGGCAGGGTTTTGGAGGGTTGAGAGAGGATTAGGGTTTTGAGGGAGAGGATTGGGTTGAGATTTTTCTCTTTTTCGACTGAGGTGTCGAGGTAGGGGTCTCGGACCCATTTGATCTTGGCGGCGACGAAGGTGCGGATGGTGGTGATGCTGTGGCGGAGGTGGCGGAGCTTGGTGGCGGATTGGGTGAACGCCGCCATGGGCTAATGGTTTATGTACAGCGGGTGGTGAAGTTTGAGCTGGACAAATGCCACGGATGATCCGACCCGGAAATACTGCGGATATTGGGCAATCTGGATTTGCTTGTTTGGTTGAGAAAAAAGAAAAATAAATAAATAAATACATTGGGGATAAAATATATATATACTAATGTATGCTCGTACCTAAAGTCACGGAGGAAATAATATTGAGATTATCTTCTCTTGTCCAATCTTTTATGTGGTACATGAAAAATTTATTCACAAAATAATTTCGGAAAAAATTGTTCCTTTCTTATTACAATATTATTATTCTTACCCAAGTTATCAATCTTTCTTGTTCTAATTGAAGAGGTTGGTCTCATTTGAACTTCGGCTAAAATTAGAAAAGAATAAAATCTCAGTGATTGCAATATTAACAAACCATCTCTAATGTTTTAAAAGAAAAGGCATGGAAAGAAAAATAGTACACTGCCGCTCACCCCCATTGTGCAAAATTGAAGTGTATCAAAGCCCAAAGTTTAGTAGGAAAAATGCATCAATTAGTTAAATAAAATGTATGATTAGCGAACTCATGAATATATTACACTTAAGTCTCGTGAATATAATTACAACACTCATTTCACTTTCCTAAGCTTAAGTCTCAAACTTTGCATATTACACTTCTCTTTTGCTAAAGCTTAATTAAAAAACCAAATATAGAGAAAGAGAAAAATAGAAAGGGAAAAAGAATAGAAACTAAACCTTAATCAAGAAAATCACCTCTTTGGGCAATCAACTAACCCTCCAATCAAGCATATGTATCTATGGATTACACCGATCTCAAAACATCAAGCACTATTTATAATAATTGTAAAAGCAAAAATCATCAAGCACTAATTGCGGAAGTTCTAAACACATTATTAGATTTCAGGTCTTAAACACATCATCAAGCACTAATGTTTATAAATGACTCCTTCCATCATTAAGCACTAATGATTCAACAAATATATTTAATTTCTAACATTGAGCAGTCTTTTAGAGACATGAAATTCAGCACTTACGTAGATAATTTTTCAAGAAGCAATTTGTTTCACACCATTTCACTTTTTGCCTCCCTCCATCTCTACTCCCCCCCATTCCACACACCCTATCTGTTTTTTAATTTATATAGCAAATATTTTATGCACCCAGACACATGCAGCGTCCACCTAGGAAACTACTATATATCAAAAAAATGTTTAACAGAGACACATCCATATAGATGGAAAAGAGAAATTTATTGACCAAGAAAAAGGTTCTTTATTTGATAACCTTTCATGGATATCTATGGCACCACAATGCAAGGAGCGTCCGTTTCAAAAATCTTCAAACCACAATCTAAAAAGAAAGATTTCATAAACTTACAACTAAGATCCAATTGAGAGCATTCAAACTATTTAGAAGTAATGCAAACAAAAAACAAAAAAATTGCTAATTTTTTGGTCTTTCCCAAAACCAATAAATAATAATAAAAATAATTAGTAAATAGAATATCGTCCAAAAAATAGATAAATTCATAAATTCAACCCAATCAAGTAAAGGGAACTTTGTTCTCACCCCAGTCAAAAGTTTAGCAGAGGGGAACTTTTTCCCCAACCAAAAGTTTGATCATTCGATCAACCTCCTTTCACATTTCATTCCCTGTGAATTAACAAACACATTAAACAAATCAAATAGAGAAACAATTTATGAAGCATTTAGCGAACATATGAAAATGGTTTTTTATCAAACAATTTATCAAGCATTTGGTGAACATTGTAGTAGCAAAAATTATGTAGTGGCTCAATCAATTATTTTGAACTTCAATTATTGCAAAATTATACCCAAATCCTTATAATGGAATGAATAACAATAAATTTAATTAAAATAATAGGAAATAGGTTGTAATTTATGCCAAGTGACATGAGTAAGTTAGTCTTTGAACTATGAAAATCGAGTAAAAGATTAAATCATGAACTTACAACATGAATGTACAAAAAATAAAAAATAGAAGCAAAAAAAAAATGGAATCTTAGTTACCTCTATTCATAGAGCCTTTAGAACTATTCTCCTCACTAAATTCCAATGCCTCCGTCATCTTTACATGAATTGATAATTTCTTTACAACACTCCAACTCAACATAAAATTGTGTATTGATTTTAGGAGAAAAGATCTTTCGTACTTAAAACTAAAAAGAAAAATTAAAGTGAAAGCAATTTCAAAAATCAAAACACATTTGAAAATGAAACCTATTTCACATTTCAGAAATCAAACATGTTTAATTTTTCCAACACAAACACATACAATTTCAATTTGGAACTTTGTATATAATATTCTTCATTAAGCTAATAGTATGTTACCTGTAGATCAATGATCTAATTTTGATAAGAAAAATTATTGTACAATAGAGTTGAAAATGCAGATATCAAAATCTAAAACCAAACACAAAATTACTACAAATAATACTTGGAATTCAAAAATAACTTCATAATTGAAACAATAAAAAATGGGGGAAAAAATTTAAAATTTGAAATCATATTAATGGAGAATTCTAAGAAAATAAAAAGACATTCGCTAATGAGATTAATTAGAGCTTGAACAATGGCCAATTAGGTCATGAATTTCAAAATCAATTAATTGAAAAAGATTCAGATCCTAACAGTTAACAGAATAAAAATTTAAAGCCATGGTTTTTTTTTTTGGGGGGGGGGTAGGTATTTAAAGCTGACATGGATAGGCCCACGAGGCATACGGCCCACAGCAAACCACCCCGAACCCATCGCTTAGGATCGATAGCATAACCCGGTTGGCAAAGCCCAGGACAGCTGGAGGCCATCTAGGCATGGGGGGCCAATGGCATTCGGACACATGGCAGGTGGAACACGGTCCACATCAGCAGACAAAGATTTGCAGAGTTATTACCATAACACATCACCATTAATGCATCCCATCACAGCATTTATTACGACAACACCTCCCCGTCGGAATAAAGCCCCCTTACCCTGAACAAGGTAAGCTACGGCACAGGCTTTCGGCGGAAGGGGGCACGTCACAAGGAATAATGAAATGATTACCAAAGGATATAAGCAAGAATAGCAAGACAAGAAAGAGGTTAAGTTTTTTATCTCTCCATCTCTCTCTCTACATTTTCTTCTTCCTCTACTAATTCTTATACCGGAGGGTTCACTGGGGGACTGCCCCGTTCCCCTTTGGACTTGCATGCAGGTCATTTAACGGAATCACCACCCCAAACCGGAACTTGAAGAGCCTGGACCAGCCCGACCCATCCACCTGAGACGGACAGCATCATCAGTTGGCGCCGTCTGTGGGAACCTTGTGGTTTATTCATGCGCTAGTTGTGTTCGCTATCGCCGGAGCCCTCCTTTCTCATTATTACCCTTTTTCCTCTCACCCGTCCAGGTGTATGGTCACGACTAGGTCCATGGCCTCCCATCATAATACCACCGATCATCAAACAGACCCTTCCCATCCAAACAACCCACCACAGTACATCATCGAACTTACTAACAGTATTAACCGCATGGCCGAGCAAAACCAGGCCCTGATCAATGCTTTGCTCCAAAGAAACCTCCCTGCTCCACCTCCAGACATTCCACCCAACCAAGAAAAAACCCCGGACCACACTGCTCCACAACCCCCTCCCCCCAACCTCCCCAACCCAGAAGGTTTACAACCCCCTCCTCCTCTAAATATGAGCCTACCACCCCCGCCTCCACGCCCGCCGGTCGTGCCACTAGCCCCTGAGGGGGAAGCCAGCAGTGTCCAGCCCCCATTGACCGACCATGGCGACAACATTCCCCTCTGGGACGCAGAACTCCGAGCCATGAAACTCCAACTACAAGGGGTCATCCAGAACATCCAGCACAAGCCCTCAGCCACCGCCAACTCGCCTTTTGTTGCCTCCATCCGCAACAAACCGTTGCCCGCCAAGTTCAAAATGCCTACCATTGACTCCTTCGATGGCACGACGGACCCAGTCGACCATCTGGAAACCTACCGCACCCTCATGATCCTCCATGCTTTCCCTGACGAGATCATGTGCCAAGCTTTTCCAGTGACACTAAAGGGATCAGCTCGATTGTGGTTTAGCCAGTTACCGGCGGACTCCGTCTCTACCTTCCAACACCTCAGTGACTCTTTCCTAAGCCATTTCATCGGGGCCCAGCGTCAGAGACGCCCAGCCACCCAACTCCTAAACATTCGTCAGACCGAGGGGGAGTCGCTCTGCAGCTTCGTCACCCGCTTCAACACCGAGGCCCTTCAAGTAGCGGAGAATGACGACAAGGTCATCCTCACCGCCTTCATGGCCGGCCTGCGGTCGTCGGATTTCCTTTTCTCCCTCTCCAAAAACCCTCCAACCACCATGGCAGCCCTACTATCCAAAGCCCAGAAATACATGAATGCTGAAGATTCCCTGGCCGCTCGGCAAGAGCCCACCCCTAAAAATCCGATCCCTAGAGACAAGAGGAAAGACTCCGAAAACAGAGCCGCCCAGTATAATAGCCAAACACCCCACTATAATGACCGACCCCCCCGTGCCGACCGGTCGACTCCGACCCGACCGCCCGGTCGGTTTGAGCGATACACATCTCTTAACTCCCCCATGGAGCACGTCCTCAATCAGATCCAGCGGGACTACCCCCTCAAGTGGCCCCTACCTTCACGGAACCCTTCCACTCAAAAAGATCAGTCCAAATACTGCCGTTTCTACCAAGACCATGGTCATACCACCGACGAGTGTATTAACCTCAAAGATCAGATCGAGACCTTCATACGCTAGGGCCGCCTCAGCCGATTCACAGACACCCGCCCTCCACAGAGGCAAAGAACCGACCTCACCAGGAACAATCGCCGACAAACACTACCCCGCAATCAAGGCCCACTTAACCAAGGCCACGATCGCCCACCACCGCAGCCTCGGCCTCCTGTTAATCCCCCTCCACCAGTCGGAGAAATCCGAGTTATTTCAGGTGGCTTTGCTTGCGGGGGACCATCCCGCTCGGCTCAGAAGGCAGAACTCAGAAAAATCAGGCAGGGCTCAAACAAAGTAGTGGCGACGGTGGACCGACCTCCCAAACAGTCAAAACAATGGATCGAACCTATCACCTTCACCGACACTGATTGTGCAGGAGTTCGCTACCCACATGATGACCCTCTTGTCATTTCCG